AGGGGGGGGGGGGGGGGGAATAATCTTATTTTAAGACATATTTTTTATGGAGTATTTTTACAATTTGTTTAACATTTAACCGTGTCCACATGCCTATATGTATATATATACCCAAGACGTATCCTTTATTTTTTCTTTAAAAAAAAAAACAGGAAGTAACATGTATCCCTTCACAAGGATCTCGTGATTTACGAGGAAATACGTTACAACGATCAGAAGGAATGTCATGCCGTCATGGGAGCTATATACATATAGAGATCGATATATATTTTTTCCCTAATAAAGCATATTTGTAATAAAAATATTATTCTAGGTAGGTAAGGAGGCGTGACACTCGACATCGTTCGCAACAAAATATATACATTTACTCGAGACAAAACAAACAAAAAAACTACACCGAGTGATACAGATTTTGTAATATCCAAGTTAAAATATAAGTTTATTACCACATATCGTCAAATTAACCATTTATTTGTGTAGGAAATTAAAAAAAAAAACAAATTTGGATTGTTTAACGATGATAAAACATTCACGGATTCAAATTTAAGCATAGAAAGAGTATTTATTCGTACTTTTTCGATCTTTTGAAAGGTACAGTTAGCACAAAAGTTGGGTGAATTTTATAATTATAATAAAAAAGTTCTTTGAGTCGGACCAATATGTTTGATTAGCCGCGGCCTAATTCGTCGGCGTTGTTAATGCAAAAGTGCATGCATCACATGCATGGTCTTTTCACGTTTGGAACATCATTCATTGGATATACTCTGATTACGTTGCTAATGTATTTAGCATTTTCCCCTATATTTGGCGATTTCAGCGACAAAAATTGTCCTAAAAAGGAGATTTAGTGTTTTTTTTTTAAAAACAAAATGGTGTATTAATAGCACACGTTACAGACGCTGTCCATATAATGCTCATCACTCTTCGTTCTCTTCCCCATAATCGCGACCTCGCCGTCTCAAAGAGAAGATCAAAGGTTCAAAAAAATGTCGAAATCACCGGAAACAGAACACCCAAACAAAGCCATAGGATGGGCCGCTAGAGACAGCTCCGGCGTCTTGTCGCCGTTTCACTTCTCCAGAAGGTCCCCCTTCTCTCTCTCTCTGATCGTAGTTGTCTTTTACTGTTGGGATCCAATGAATTGGGATTGTTATGTTGATTAGATTCGTCGAGATTTATTACGTGTGCTTCAATATTCATCATATGAAAGCTTTCGACCTCGTGGGTGTTTCATCAACGGATCCGCGTCCGCCTTTTTGTAATGAAAAGAAAGAAGGCTTTGCTATGCGTTTCGTGTCAACAAAATTCGTGGGTTTCATGAGAATCTTGGTTAATGTGACGGTTGATCTGCAAATTAATTATATTTGTTTCAAACGACAAAGACCGCATAAGATTTAGAGAAAAAGTACAATATAATCTTGGTTTTGCCACCAGATTCGAGTAGGGGTGTCTGACTTGTCTTTTGGTATATAGTTTTTCAATGTTTCATTTCTAGTTTGGTCCGCTTTTTGTTTTGATCTCATGCACGTACATAATTTGATGTTAATTTGTTTGCAGAGACAACGGAGACAACGATGTTACCGTCAAGATCCTTTACTGTGGGGTTTGCCACTCGGATCTGCACTCACTCAAGAACGAGTGGGGTTTCACCAATTACCCCATCGTTCCTGGGTACGTTTTTTTTTCTGTGAATATATGCTTGCATTTTTATTATGAATTATTATTATGATCCGATTGTTACTAGAATTGGGTGTTTTAACCCGTAACCCGGGGTTTGGAGGTATCCGGCTTAACAAGTACCCGAATTAGGGGTACCCGAATATTAATGATGATGAGATCGAGTATTAATAAGGCTAAGTTTTCGACCTCTGAGTCCGAGTGGTAATACCCGATATATTTGTTAAAAATCTAAAATATACTTTATATTTATAATATTTTTGTCTAAATTATTCTTATTATTTATTAAAATACTTTTATTTTAGTTTATTTTTTTTATCTTTTAAATCTTTCTATACAAAAATTTCACCATTCCAAATTTCATTCTATACCGAATCAACCATTCATCTCTCTCAAAATTTGTTCTCTCTCTTCATCGTGAACTTTTTTCCTTATACTTTGACCTCTCTCATTTGTACTTTTTATATCTATCATTTCATAATTCAAAATTTTATAAGTCGTATGGGGTTGGGTACTCGCGAGTACAAGAACGAGAATCTCATTAAATCTGAACTACAAATAACCGGATTTTATATGAAGCAAAGGCTGAAATAATATTTTTGTAAAATCCGTGGTGATGAAGACGATATAGAGTTTTCTAAAATTTGGGGGTAGCCGACCCATGTCCACTCTTAATTGTTAGGTTCGATTCTCCCATCATCACTCGCACATTTTATAGATTTAATGGTATCGTGCAGTGTTGTAACATGAAATTTCTTTCTTTCAGGCATGAAATCGTGGGAATCGCTTCGAAAGTTGGAAAGAACGTGACAAAGTTCAAAGAAGGAGACCGTGTAGGGGTCGGCGTGATCGTTAACTCGTGCCAATCCTGCGAGACATGTGATCAAGACTTGGAAAACTACTGTCCCCAACTCATATTCACTTACAACTCGTACGACCACGACGGCACCAAAACGTACGGCGGCTATTCCGACACGATCGTCGTGGACCAGCGTTTCGTCCTACGCTTCCCCGACGGGTTGCCACCCGACGCGGGCGCTCCGTTGTTGTGTGCGGGAATCACGGTTTACAGTCCGATGAAGTATTACGGGATGACTGAACCAGGGAAACACTTGGGCGTGGCTGGACTCGGTGGACTCGGTCATGTCGCTGTCAAGATCGGTAAGGCATTTGGGTTGAAGGTTACCGTAATCAGTACCTCTCCGAAGAAAGAGAGCGAAGCCATCGACCGGCTCGGTGCCGATTCTTTCCTCGTCACGACCGATCCCCAGAAGATGAAGGTACGTATGCAAGAGAGAGAGAGAGCAGTAGTTCTTGCATGCATGTTATTGTATAATCTTTTGTCGTGGAAACTTATTGTATAGGCGGCGATAGGGACAATGGATTTCATTATCGACACGGTGTCAGCAGTTCATGCTCTATTCCCGTTGCTTGGCTTGCTGAAAGTGAATGGAAAGCTCATCACTTTAGGCCTGCCAGAGAAGCCACTCGAGCTACCGATCTTCCCTTTAGCTCTCGGTATAAACCCTAAAAAACCCTAAACACGTACGATGATGATGATGATGGTGATGATGATGGTGATGGTGCAGGGAGGAAGATGGTGGGAGGAAGTGACATAGGGGGGATGAAGGAGACACAAGAGATGCTCGACTTCTGCGCGAAACACAACATCGCAGCCGACATCGAGCTGATTAAGATGGAAGACATCAACTCCGCTTTCGTCAGGCTTTCCAAATCTGACGTCAGGTACCGCTTCGTCATCGACGTTGCCAACTCATTGATCTAACGGACACATGTACGAACCACCTGTCGGCACGTATGTTGTCTCCCTATTTTACTCGTCACCTTTTTGTTCCTTCCTTCCATCTTTGGAAAAATGCAGAGACCATCTGATATTATTATTATTATTGTTATTATTATGGTCACGACCTGTTTTTAGCCGTGTCCCCAATGTTTTACCCTCTTGGAGGGTATATTTCAATTTCAGTACATTATGAGATAATTCAGGATAATATTAAAAAATATACATACTTTTAATTTGATAAATAAATAAATTAGATGTTGTCGAAATGTAAAAAAAACAATATCTTAATATCTCAATCCTTATAGGAATTTTTTTTTCGATATGCATAAGTTTTGAGAATGGAGTTTTAATGTTTGGGTTAAGAAGACAAAGTTGTGTAGATAAAAAAAAAATATGCAGTTTCTTTATGTTCCGTCGTTTTCCCCCTCTTCTTTTGTAATTAATTTTTTTTTTATTATGTGTCATAATAGTTTTATTTTGATTTTCCTTTGGGCTTTAGGGACTTTTCTCTCTCTCTCTCTCTCTCTCTCTCTCTCTCTCTCTCTATCTTCTTCAATGTATTATTTCCCGGTTATTGTAAGGTATCAAGGGAGATGAAATAATATATTGTTACATGTATATGAATAGAATGGGTTTGGTTTGTATCGTGTTGCCAAAAAATATTTATATCGTAAGTTGAAAGATGGGCATGTCGGTCCATCCCGGTCGGTCCGTTCTAGTAAGAACATGAATGTTTCGTCAATTCATGGATTTTGCTTTCTTCGGTATTTTCTAGGGGTGAGACATTTCAAGTTCATTTCCTCATAACATAACAATACCGAATCGAAAAAAAATACGGTATTTTTTTTATTCAAACCGTACAAATTCTCGATCGTTATTAATTTTAGAAATACCAAATTTTATGAAACTGAATCGAATTAAAATTTTAAAAAACCTAAAAAACCTAAAAATTATTAGAAAGGTCTAATTCCCAATAGAAATGTAAACAATACCATAATCTTCGAAATTATTTTAAAAAAAATTAATTGCTAATGAACAACGCGTGATATTCACGGCATACATTCAGGTTTCACGTAACGCGAAATTTTTTACTTGTATACGTTCCAAGAGGCCGAAAATCCAACGGCCACGCAGCCACCGTAGAGCTTACGATTAGCTTGTGAGATCAGGACACATGGATTATAGGATGGGTCCCACCGAATCATAATACAAAAGTCAAATGCATCTCTCATGGATCAAACCCATAGGAGAAGTAACAGAGAAAAGTTCCTCAGCCGTTGGATCAGCCACAAATATCTTAAGTCGGTCAATACATCGACGGTTGAGAATCAAATGTTATAATACACCCTGTTGCAGCTGATTAACATTTGGTTTAATATTATCTTCTATTCTTCCAGGACACGATCTTCTTTCAAACCGACATTGTAGTTTCTTTCAATACGACAAAGTAAACGATAAAAAAAATAAATCAAAGAAACGCGATTCACGTAAACGTAATCAGGAGGACAAACGGATTCAAGTACCCTTTCGATCGATCTTCTCGGTTCGTCGATTCTCCGGATCATTCCGACGAATCCGGTGTTAGAATCGATATCCAAATGGCGGAGAAGAAGTTTTCCGGTGAATCGGAAAAGGCGTTTTCAGAGACGGAGATGGAAGCGGCGGAGCAGCTGGTGCAGCTGAGCGAGGAGGAGACGACGGTGAGCTGTAGCAGCAGCTGCAGCGGCGTTGGACATGGCGACAAGACAAGACATGAAGACGTCAGCTCGAGGACCAGTAACGATAGAATGGTGGGGATCGAACAAAACGGCGCCGTACGAGGGAATATTCCCGGTCGGATGGGGACGTCGTCGGGGAAGAAGACGAAGAGGGTTCGGTCTCTTGAGAGTATTTACAGAGCGACGAAGAAGATCCGATCGAGTTAGTCAGTCCCATGTTGTTAATAGAAATATAGGGTTTAGGGTTTGATTAATTACGTTGGTTAATCGTGTTTGATCTTTTTCTTTTTGTATATTGTAATTACGATAACGTCGAAGGTTTAACGTATATACGCAGATACATAGTCGAAGCCGAGGATGGGTTTGTACGTACTCGAACGTGTATATAGAGATGGATCTTAATTAAGTTGATACAAACTCATATTAAGTTCTTAATGAAATTGATACAATTAATACACCTCTTCTTCTCCAGATTTCAATAAAAATTGTATCCAATTAAGAAACAAAAAGATTGTACAAACTCTCTCTCAAGTTAGCTAGTGGGTTGTAGTCTAAAGATAGTAATTACCTAGCCCACATACACACACACACATATATATATATATGTCATGTCAATATTTTTGTGATAAAGAGTATTTATATCCTATATATTTTTGGTAAAAATGTATCCTATATATTAAACGCGATTTCCATGGGTTTTCTTATATGAATCGGATTATACGGCTTAACAAAGGGGTTTCATGAAATGTATAGTTTTTGCGAAATATATTGACTTTGGATACGAACATATAACACAATCAATTACTTCAAATAAACATTACTTGTAACAAATTCCGCACGTTTTGTGCCATATGACGTTGAGAGCTTTTAACATGTCAAGCTGATGGGCCCCACTTACGCATTAGGCCATCACATAAAACTCGTGGACTGGGCCCACAACAAAAGCCCTAAAGCGCTCCCGTTTGCCCGCCCGCCGCTTTGAACGCTGACCTCACGCCTCTCTCTCTCTCTCGGCCATTGGCGGGGAAAACTCAAAAATTTTCCCGGGAAAAGAAGACAAAATTCGACCAATAAAGGACAAAGTAGAAGGAATCACATGAAACCCTAAAGTTTGTGCCCCTATCAATCCAGACCCAAAGCCCTTAGCGCCTCCATTGATCCTATCTAATCGTTTTTTCGGGTTCAACTGTTTCGTTGTCGTCTCGCGTACACGACCTGTTCGACATAATTCCTCTTTGAGAAAATCTGTTCAGGGAAAATGTATGTTGTGAAGCGCGATGGAAGGCAGGAAGCTGTTCATTTCGACAAGATCACCGCGAGGTTGAAGAAGCTTAGCTATGGACTCAGCAGCGAACACTGTGACCCGGTCCTCGTGTCACAGAAAGTCTGCGCTGGTGTATACAAGGGCGTCACAACGAGTCAGCTCGACGAGCTGGCGGCTGAAACTGCTGCCGCCATGACTGCCAACCATCCCGATTATGCTTCCGTGAGTTTGATTTTTCAGTTTCCCCAAAATTTGGAGTGCGTATGTCTAGATTTACTTTCTGTCTCTGGGTATTCTCTGGTTCGGTTGAATTTTCGTTTATAGAGAAATGGGTATCGAACTTCTACTGCAACGCCAAAATTTGAAATTCTTATGCGGAATTCTGGATTGTGGGTTTAATATTTTCTTTAATTGAACTGATAATTGTGCCTATAGGAATTTGGTAAAGTTATGTTTTATTCGTGATCCATCTCTGTATAGGCCATACGATTCAGTCGTTGCAATAGTCTATTGTTCTGCTTGAAACCATCAATCCGATTTCTGGTTGAAATTGTAGTGAACGAAGTTCCGGATTCTGTATAATAGGCATTCTTTTCTTGTCAATTTTCCAGCTAGCCGCCAGGATCGCTGTCTCGAATCTCCACAAGAACACAAAAAAGTCATTTTCCGAGACGTGAGTGTAATCTTTCACTATGTTTTCTGGGTAAACCATGGGAAGTGTTCATGTTTTCATGTGTATCAACTTTGATGGATGATTGATATCTGCAGCGTCAAGGACATGTACTACCATTTCAATGAAAGATCAGGGCTAAAGGCTCCTTTAATAGCTGATGATGTGTATGAAATAATCATGAAGGTAAATAGCTTGCTTTAGGTTCTCAATTTGGTTCTTGGTGGGAATAAGATAACACTTGGGCATAGATATATGTAATGTCTTACTGAATTGGGTTTCTGTTGGCTACTACCAGGATGCTGCTCGTCTGGACAGTGAAATAATCTACGATCGTGATTTTGAATATGACTACTTTGGATTTAAAACACTTGAGAGATCCTACCTCCTTAAAGTCCAAGGAAAGGTTGTTGAAAGGCCTCAACACATGCTGATGAGAGTTGCTGTAGGCATCCACAAGGATGATATCGATTCTGCAATCAGAACGTACCATTTGATGTCCCAGAGATGGTTCACTCATGCTTCTCCCACTCTCTTCAATGCAGGAACACCAAGGCCTCAAGTGTGTTTAACACGTGTATATACAAGTTTATTCGTATATGCAGATTGTTTTCCGAAAATTTTACTAGCTTGCAAATGTCTGATTTGACAGTTAAGTAGCTGCTTTTTGATCTGCATGAAAGATGACAGCATTGAGGGTATATATGACACGCTGAAAGAATGTGCTGTTATTAGCAAATCAGCTGGTGGCATAGGTGTTTCTGTTCACAACATCCGTGCTACTGGAAGTTACATTCGGGGTACAAATGGGACATCTAATGGAATCGTTCCAATGCTGCGGGTGTTCAATGATACTGCTCGTTACGTTGACCAAGGAGGAGGCAAGAGAAAGGGTCTGTCAATGATATACTATGCTAATGCAACCACTATTATTGTTTTTCGTTGTCTTTAGACTATTGTGATCGGGGGTTTTATATATATGTTCTGTAATTGTTGAAGGAGCTTTCGCTGTATATCTGGAGCCATGGCATGCCGACATCTTCGAGTTTCTGGATCTCCGAAAGAACCATGGAAAAGTAAGAAATACGTCGCCTAGTTCTCTCTATTGATTCTTTTTGTGTGTTAGCTTTTAATAAACCGTCATTAAAATTCATCTTTCCTGTTGCAGGAAGAACATAGGGCTAGGGACCTGTTCTATGCGCTTTGGGTTCCTGATCTTTTCATGGAGAGGGTTCAAACTGATGGGCTGTGGTCATTGTTTTGCCCCAGTGAAGCTCCTGGTTTGGCAGATTGCTGGGGTGAGGAATTTGAGAGACTATACACACATTATGAGAGAGAGGTGAATTCCTTTCTGGTCTTTTGCTTCTCTGCATATTAAACATAAGTCTTGCATCTTAGTACTGGTTTTGGTTTGTCTTTGATGTATAGGGTAAGGCCAAGAAGGTTGTTCAGGCACAAAAACTATGGTATGAAATATTGACATCCCAGATTGAAACAGGGACACCATACATGCTTTTCAAGGTAACAAATAGTCATGATTCTTTAATCAATCGCCTTATACAACCTCTGGTTCTAACTTTTGATTTCTGATATTCTTTTTTAGGACTCATGCAACAGGAAGAGCAACCAGCAAAATCTGGGTACGATAAAGTCTTCCAATTTATGCACTGAGATTATTGAGTACACTAGCCCTACGGAAACTGCTGTTTGCAATCTTGCATCTATTGCTTTACCTCGATTCGTAAGGGAAAAGGTCAGTACAAAGGGTCAGCACAGCATATGAACTTGCTTTTGCTCTCTCACTCAGGATATAACCATGGGTTTTCTTACGTTCACAACAGGGTGTCCCTTTGGAGGCTCACCCATCTAAGCTTGTGGGCAGTATGGGCTCAAAGAATCGGTTCTTTGATTTTGACAAGTTAGGAGAGGTCAGACACTCTTTGTCCATCTCACTGAGAATGTCTATATTCATTGTATTATATCTTGGGAAATTCTCCATGCCTTCGTGATTTTATGTAACTTATTTTCATCCTTTTGTCGGCCAGATTGCTGCAACTGTTACTGCAAATCTTAACAAGATAATAGATGTGAATTACTACCCTGTGGAGACTGCAAAATATTCAAATATGCGTCATAGGCCTATCGGTATTGGAGTACAAGGTCTCGCAGACACATTTATCCTTCTCGGAATGCCATTTGACTCACCTGAGGTAAACTTGCTTGGGATGAGATATCAACCATTGGAAAATCTCTTCTCTGCCTCTCCCTCTCTCTCTCTTTATTCTGAGCTTCTTTTGGAATGATCTCAGGCCCAGCAACTCAACAAGGACATATTTGAAACAATATACTACCATGCGCTCAAAGCATCTTCTGAGCTTGCTGCTAAGGATGGTCCCTATGAGACATACCAAGGAAGTCCAGTGAGTAAGGTATGCATCTCTCCATGCAAATCTCTGGAGGGCCTGAAATCATCTTCTTCACCTGTTGTCTTTTGTATCAATCTTTAGGGAATTCTTCAACCTGACATGTGGAATGTAACACCCTCTGACCGCTGGGATTGGGTTGCTCTAAGGGATATGATATCTAAGAATGGTGTGAGGAATTCACTTCTAGTGGCACCAATGCCAACGGCTTCTACAAGTCAAATTCTTGGAAACAATGAATGCTTTGAGCCATATACCTCAAACATCTATAGCCGCAGAGTCTTGAGGTATGCCTTTGCTTAAGTGGTTTTGCCAACACAAGAAAGTTCCTCTGTTTTAGGTTGTTTTTTTGCTTAACCTGGATCTGCTTTGTGTCTCCAGCGGTGAATTTGTGGTGGTGAATAAGCATCTTCTTCATGATTTAACTGATATGGGCGTCTGGTCTCCTGCCCTAAAGAACAAGATAATTTATGAGAATGGTTCTATTCAAAAGGTCCCAGAAATACCCGTTGATTTGAAGGCAGTTTACAGGTACAACTTTGTGATGTTTTGTGATCTGTGTATTAATTCCTCCAGATTCAAAAGTTTGACTGGTTTTACCCCTGCAATCCAATCTCAGGACCGTATGGGAGATTAAACAGAAAACACTGGTTGACATGGCTGTTGACCGTGGTTGCTATATAGATCAAAGCCAAAGCCTGAATATACACATGACCGAACCCAATTTCGGAAAACTCACTTCCTTGCACTTCTACGCCTGGAGAAAGGTACTGGTTGGTTTCATTCTATGCTCGAAACTTGGAATGGACATGCATAGGAGAAAAACGGCAGAACCTAATTAGTCTTGTTCTGTTTGGGTTTGGTTAGGTTCATACTTTTGGTCCAAATCCCTAGCTTGAAATTGCAATCTCTTTCCTGATTCACAAGATAAAACAGATGACTCTGTTCCGTGGTTCATCTGTCTCATGATGGTAGTTTTTTGATATTTGTGAAAATATGAAAAAGGGTCTGAAAACGGGGATGTACTACTTGCGATCCCGTGCTGCAGCCGATGCAATTAAGTTCACAGTTGATACAACAATGCTCAAGGTAAAACCGATATTCCCCATTCCAACCTTCTTCTCTTTTGCCACATTTCTTCTGTTATGTTGCAGAGAAATGTGACATTCCCTGAAATTTGTGGGTTGGTACTTTACAGGAGAAGCCTGAAGTAGCAGCAGCAGCAGCAGAAGAAGAAGAAGAGGTCAATGAAACTAAAATGGCACAGATGGTTTGCTCTCTTACAAACCGGGACGAGTGCCTTGCCTGCGGAAGTTAAAAAAATTGCAGTGAAGTCCTCTTTTCCCTCTAGAGGCTTTCCTTCTCTTATTGGTATTACTTTGTAACTATAATGTAGTATAATATGTTGAAAAAAAATGTTCTTTTAAGTTTAAGATTCTTGTAAAGACCGAACTGGATGTCACAAACTTCACGTGATTTGATTTTTGTGTTTTTTTGTTGTCGCAATCTGTGTAATTGATTCGTTGAAAGCCGTATAGGTTTTCATAAATTGACATTTTGTACACAAATATGAAATTAAAATACCTCTTGAAAAAAAAATTCACTTTTTTTTTTGCAACCCTATAAATTTGATGATATATCTTTTTGGCAGCAAAAATTGGTGTAATTTTTTTTTATTGAACCATGAATTTGTCTAATTAAATATACGAAATACATATTTTTTTTTTCCAATTGACGAAAAAAGTAATGGTCAAACATGTAATGGGCCGGGCCATAATCAAAAGCCCATTAAGATCTGAGCTTCTAGACTCTTCCCAAAAGAACTTTTGAGGAAGGCTTGAAGAACAAACCCTAGTCCTCTGACGCTGCTTCTCTCGCTATATAAACCCTCACCCCTTCTTTTCCGGTCTCATGGTCTTTTTCACTCGCCGTTGAAATTTAGGAACCCTAAAATTACAGTCTGCGATTTTCGTCTTTGGTTTGTTGTAATGGTTTTGTGATCTCCAATGAGTATTATGATCGGTGAAGTTTAGGGTTTGTTTCTGTGGCCATTGATCGGTGAAGGTTAAGATTCTACTTTGGTTTTGTGTCTTGTGCCTATTGATTGTTTTTTTTTGTGTTCGATGATCTGAATTGTCGTCAATGATGATAAATCCAAAGGCTTGTTTCTCAAACATTCGCAGTTGCCGCCTAAGAGCTTTCGCCTTTCGCCGGGCTTGAGAGCTAATGCTGCTTTATCTCCTTCCTTGGATGTCTGAGACATTTTTGTATATCTTTCGAAATTTGGTTTTGTCGTTGTCTGGGACTTTGTTGTCTGCCCCTTTAGCAGGATTGATCGAGTGCTTTAGGGATGAACAAGTCCCCCACATGTTCATCCATCTAATTCACTTTGTCAGCAGTCTATCCTGGTTTCTTGCTGATCATTTCAGGATGGGAAATCTTCTATCAGTTTCATATGATTTCTCAAAATCTCTTTTCTCAATTTTGGAGACGATGATTCGTTAATCCAAATCGGTCGATGATGATGAATCTAAAGGCTTGTTTCTCAAAACATTCGCAGTTGCCGCCTAAGAGCTTTCGCCTTTCGCCGGGCTTGAGAGCTAATGCTGCTTTTATCCTTCCTTGGATGTCTGAGACCGAAATGTTATACTTTTATTCTATTCATGCTCTCTAGTGTTTGATTGAATGATTAATAACAAGTCTACTGTTGGGGATGAGTCCAAAATATGATCGAGGATGATAATTTCAAAGGCTTGTTTCTCAAAACATTCGCAGTTGCCGCCTAAGAGCTTTCGCCTTCGCCGGGCTTGAGAGCTAATGCTGCTTCCATCCTTCCTTGGATGTCTGAGATCTTACACGCACTCTGTTCCTCTTTGGCTTTATGTATCAGATATTACCGGTTTTCCCTTTGTGTTCTTTTATGAAACGGTTCACAGATATTGTGAGAAGAATTGAACTCAGCTTCTTAGTTTACTGCTACTAACCGTCGAGGCATTATGTGTTTTGTTTCATTTTTCAGGAACAACATGGCCCGGGCAGGACTGATCTCGTCTGGTCCTGGGATGAAATTTTCATATTAGCCGTTTACCATCCTTGGTTTTGTAACTCTGTAATTTTGTATATGCTTAATGTGTATCTTGTAGTTCTCTCACCCTTGGGTTGAGATGGTTCTGTATCTGCTTGTAAATCTTCATTTTTCTGTCTGAATATCAGATTGAGTAAAAAGTTTCGTACGTTGTTCCTTGTTCATTTTTCACTGTCATCGCTTGAATGGTAGAAACAAAAAAAATCGCACCGTTGACGATTCGGACGTGAAGAGAACTCGATTGTTCGTGAAAGAGATCTTCTTTCTTGGGTGATTGATTTAGTTAGGGCGACAATGTCTAAGAATCTGAAAGTTTGATTTCAACACACTTTTCCTTGTCTAAGAAAGGGTGTAATAAAAGAACCACGAGTGTTTCACCAATCCTCTCGTGTATATCGAGGTCTAAGCTTGGTGGCCGGTAAAGCTGACGCATATTATACGTCTCCCTCGCATTGTGGAACTTCACGGTTTAAACGTGAAGCTCGACTTCGCGTACTGAATATTTTAACCCAACACATCTGGTGATGTCTTTCTTTGACTGTCAAAACAGAATGAAAGCCCGACGAGGTCCCGACACAATGGCGATTCTATGCAATCTGACACAAGGGTTTAGGGCCTCCAACTGGGTTTCGAGCTTGTCCCTCGCTGGCTTACTGGGTGTCGCCGGTTTCGTTTTTGCCCTAAAAGAGGGTAGATTTCGTAACTTGGGCAGCCTTGGGCTGTTCTCTGTGAAAGATGACGCTGAGGATGATTCGTTTCTCGTGCCCGGATTGCAGAATCTGGGTAATAATTGTTTCCTCAACGTGATCTTGCAGGTAAATTGTTTCGATTTCTCGCTGAGTTTTTCTTGAGTTGCGGAAACAACGAGGGAGAGGTCTATTGGAGTTGGATACAATGTTATCTGTTTTAATTTCACTAGCTTGTTGGTATTTCGGTGAACTTGCCCGCCACGACTTGATCGGTTGAATAGATTTTTAAGCTTTTGTAGGGTTTGTTTGATGCATCTCAATGGATTCCTCATTGAAAGTTTGGATTTTGAAATGTCATCAGGCTCTGGCAAGCTGCAAAGATTTCCGGGTTTTTCTTCAAAGGGTTATAGATGAATCTGAAGCAACGGTTGTGGGAGAACAAGATGAACACTTGCCACTTACCTATGCTTTATCAGCTCTTCTGGAAGGTAAAGCAGATATCGCCCCTTCGTCTTTGCTATCCCATTCCTGGTTTATATGGGCATGTAACCGAGCGATAAGGTCACTGTATTTTTAGCAGAAAAATGGCTGATAATGACAGTAGTATTTGCCTTATACTTTGTTGCCACAGAACTATGTAGGATTGAAAGACGACGAGCTGTATCCAGCCCTCGTAAAGTCATGCTGGCATTGTCATGTTATGTCCAAAATTTCGATTTGACGAACCAGCAGGTTTGTTCCCCTTTTGATTCTCCTGCTTTTGGATCCTATCTGGAATTCTTTGGTCTTCTGTGAATGAGTTTGTGAACTCGTCAAGTGTAGGATGCAGCTGAAGCGCTTTTTCACCTGATGTCGTCTTTGCAAGAGGAACTAACGGATTGCTATATTCCTTGCCAAAGTACTCTATCTGATGTTATCGCTTCTCTCAACTTGAGAATTCTTGCCCCAAGTGGGAGTAACTGTTTATCGTCTGAGCTCGAGAGATGGCAGAAACGCTTTCTTGGACCATTCGATGGAATTCTTGGCAGTGTACTGATGTGTCAAACTTGTTCATGTCAGGTATATTAGATTCTCACCTGTAATAAGCTGTTGCTTATTTATATACTTTTTTTCGGATCACCTTTCTTGTTTTCTTTATATGGGTTTTGGATCTATGGTACTCTCTGGACTTTGTTAGGTCTAATTTTTCAACTTTTGCAGATCTCCCTCGAGTTTCAGTTTTTTCATACACTACCTCTTTCTCCTTTACTTGATAGCGGTTCCAACATTGTACGTTATGGAAGGTTCATTCTCCAATATTCCATATGTTCAATGCCTCGCTTTTTACTTCTAAAACCCAATTCTCTTCAGAAAAAAATGACATCTTCAGCACTTTCAATTGTATCGGCTTGGGTTGTAGATGTTCGGATGTACTGTGGAAGATTGCTTGAAGAACTTCTTTGTTGCTGAGAGAGTCGAGAATTATTACTGCAGCAAATGTTGGCATGCTGCTGCACTGAAGTACTTATCGGTGAGAGGAGCGGATGAGGTAACTCATTCCCGGCTTCTTGTTACAGCGTCAAGTATTTTTGCCTTCCCTTCTCCGACGCAGAAAACACATGTATGTTATATCTTAATGGTGTTCCTGAATGTGTAAATCAGACAGATATCGAAAAACTCAAGAGCTGCACTGGGCAAGATATATGTGACTGTAAAAGTGCCCTTCATCTTGAAACCATGCCATGGTCGAATAGCTTTTCTCATACTTTGAAGCAGTTAAGCATTGCTCGTTGCCCAAAGGTATGGACTTCTCGAAACATTTATTTGAAAGTAGATGATGGTTAAGTGAATAAGATACAGGTTTGAAGGGGCTGATTATAGGTTGTAATAACACTTGATTTCTGTTCAGATAATGTCTGGCAAATCCCCTTTGACTGATTGTAATGAGCAGAACACGGTGATGAGAAGAAGCTAAATGCCCTCAAGTCCTGTCCGATCTGTTTTAGTAATATCTTTTTTGTTTGCAGCTTCTATGCATTCAAGTGCAACGCTCTTCGATGACCATGTTTGGAGAATCAGTCAAACTAAGGGTAGAATCCTATGCCCTTCTTCCTTATATTCGTTCATGCACATTGTCTTGAGAATCTAACTGGGATAATGAACTCAGGGTCATGTTGCATTTCCAGTGGTCATGGACCTGTCCCCGGTCACGACCTCTGTTATAGGAATGAACCCGGAAGAAAGCACCATGAGAAGGCAGAAGACAAGGCGCCAAAAGCTCAACCTTCAACCTGATGCAAGTTTAGTGTTAAACTTACTCAGACCTACAGAAGGACAGATACTTTCTGGTCCAGTGGCTGCACCACTACTGGATCCTGACCAAAGCAAGCTCCTTTATTACAGCGAGAGCCAATGTAGTAATCAAAAGGTTTGTTCCCATCCCCTGTCTGAGAATATGGTGAGATTGAGTCATTCCATTTGCGATAACTTAAAACTTTCCCTCGTTTTCTTGGCGGGCAGGTAACGGTGGAACAAAAGCCATCAAGAAAGGGCAGTTTGTATAGACTTGTGACAGTGGTGGAACACTTTGGGAGAACTGGGAGTGGCCATTACACCGGTTACAGAGGCGTGAAACTGGAAACACGAGAGGAGGAGGAAGAAGAAAAGGGTTGCGAGGAATTCAGGTGGTTTAGGATATCTGATTCCGAAGTGTATGGAGTTCCAGAGAGTGATGTTCTTTCTGCTGAAGCTAGTTTGCTCTTCTACGAGAGGCTTTGAACACCCAAGAGAGAGAGAGAGAGAGAGAGCAAGACGAAAACACTTGTAATTCATGAGTTCTCTGAGGGGCAAAATTGTCATTTCGTTTCGTACACGGATAAGCTTTATTGGGCCGTGCGCGTTTCGTCTAAGCCCATTTACCTTTCTCTGTTTTCATCCCTTTTGTTGGGCCCTTTGTTTGATTGATCCCATTGGCCGTAACGAGATTTGTATGCATTATGATTTAATAAATAATAGAAATACAAAATAATTTAGAATTTTGGATTAAATAATAGAGTTTAGAGCTTTTTTTATTTTATTTTGGGGATATAAAGAGGATAAAAGATGGGTTGATGGAATATGAAGAAAAGTGTTGAAATCCGTCACGAGTTTCTTAAGCCGAAAGGGGAGGTTTTGACCTCTCTCTCTCTCTCTCTCTCTCTCTCTCTCTCTCTCCTGTTTTTCAAACAAATTGCATTTTGGACCTCAGGGTTTATCGGGGACCGAGTTTTAAAACGTATCAAAAATGAGATTTTTATTTAGGTCAATACCTTAGACGAGAGTCATAGGTTTGACCATATAAAATAAAATTAGCATTTGTACGTTTAAATGAATATCCATCACATCTAGTTAACTTATACTTGGGCTTAGTTTACTGAACAATATTCCATATTTTTATGTGGTGTTTGTAGTTATGAGCCTCGCGTAATATTAACAAATTGTGCCGTGTTATTCAAATCAATATATATATATATATATATATATATATATATATATTTGATATTTTATATAGTGGCAGAGCCATATTGACAGGAGTGGGGCACATGTCCTCACTGAATTTTAATATTGATTTTTTTCTAGTCAAATGAATATCCTATCGAATTTTTTCTTCTAAATATGTTGTTATATATATATATATATATGAACGAACAGAGATATGTAAGTAAATATTATCATACCAATGCACCGTCAAAATACCACGCATCCGCCAAATGTTGTTATTTAATAATAATAATAATAATAATAATAATAATAATAATAATAATAATAATAATAATAATAATAATAATCCCACAAGAAAACTAAGGAAACCTCCTCGGCCTCTTTTTGCTTTGTCCCTTTGTCGTTTTGTCTCTCTTAGCAAATGTCACGCCATTCTTATTTTTTATTCCAATTGTGACACTTTAATTTTTTTACCAAAATTTATTTTAAATAATGTTATACATATATATGGATCGTTACATATCAGATTGCAAGTTAAGCAGAAATCGTAATTGGTAATCGTCGGTGAATATCTTTTATTTGTAATAAAAGAATAATATGAGGAAAATATATTTATTTTATTATAATATTAGATTTTTTTTTAAAAAAAAAAAAGAGAGGCAAAATGGAAGGAAAAAAGACTATTCTCCTCTCCAACTCGAAGACCCATCTCCCTTAAAATGGAAACGAGGAAACTCAGAGGAAGCCCATTTCCCCCAAGGAGAAAATCACGACATTGAATTTTCTCTTCTGTGATTTTCTCCTCGCAAAAATTCTCGGAGCTTCCTTTGCTCTTCGCCGCCGCCGTCGTGTCCGCCGTCTTTTGAGGTCAGTATGCATCGCCTGTACTATTGGTGGATCTGTTTGATTCGTTCCAAGAGTTTTTTTTTTGTATGTCTGCTTGGTGAAATTTGGTCGTGGTGGAGTTGATTTTAGGGTTTTATTCTTGTAGTGTGCTTCTCGATGAGCTTCTAGATTGATATCGAGATTCGGATTCTCTTTGAGCTGCTACCATGGTTCTGATCTGAATCTGTGTGGAATTTGAATTAGATGTTAACGTTTTAATGGTTATGGGGCATCGGATCGATTGGAACTTGTCATGTCCAAGTTTGAGGTTTGAGATGAGTTCCGTCTTTTGTTGTTGTTTTTCTGGATCTCAGTAGTTGACATTGTGGGGTCTCGAAATTGATTTGGCTTCCTTCTTTAGTAAGTTTTTTCTATTAAGCTTCATGGTTCGTCTCAGCATCTATTCTGATAATTGATCTCGGAAGTCCATTGTTTCCTCTTACTTGCATTCCTACAATTCCTATGATTTCAGGATCCAGATAGTTTTTCTCCAATTCCTTTGTTCTTTTAGTTCATATACTGCTCTTTGTATTTGTGAAAATTTATTGTTGAATTTGCTCTTATTGAAGATTTTGATCTGCAGAAATTTGATCGGTGGGTAAAAAATGACTGCAACAAGCAAGACGGACAGGAAAGCGGCTCTAGACATTGCATCATGGATGTTCAACATTGTTACTTCGGTCGGAATCATCCTCGTTAATAAGGCCTTGATGGCTACTTATGGCTTTAGTTTTGGTAAGTAACTCGCCATATTTCAATGTGAATGCACTTACTACTCAAATCGTGTTACTTTAATTATCGATGATTATCTTGTGTTATGTCTGTGACTCTTCCTTTTTATGTAGCCTTCAATTGGATATACATTGTATAAAATTACGACATTTTAGAATTATAAGCTTTTTCTGGTTGCTTGGGCATCTATGGTTATATGCATCCCCTGATCTTGTAAACCGTTGATTAAATTTCTTTTAATACCATAGTTTGTGAGATTCTTAGATGTAGATCCTAGTAATCTAATTCTGTAAACAGACGATGACATGTATGGTTTCTTCTCTGTCTTTATCTTATTTCTTTTTGTACTAAATAAGAGTTAATTGAACAGCTAATTAGAAAAGGGTATGCAGTTAAATTAGTTTTTTCGTGTTTCATTCTTGGTCAATAGTAGAATGCATATGATATCTTACACTGGGCATTAGCCTTGACACCCTTATTGCTCTATTTCGCAGCTACAACATTAACTGGTTTGCATTTTGCAACTACGACATTGTTGACAACTGTCCTCACATGGCTCGGGTATATCCAGCCATCCCAATTACCATTGCCAGACCTTTTAAAATTCGTTCTTTTTGCAAACTTTTCCATTGTCGGGATGAATGTGAGCTTAATGTGGAATTCCGTGGGGTTCTACCAGGTCAGTCTCCGGAGCTTAACCCTTTTTTGGTGATAAAACTCCAGAGTTTTTACACTTTGCGGAGTTCTTCCTCTCACGTAAATATTGGAAACTTAACCATCTATGTCTGCTCCAAAATTATATTGCAGATTGCCAAGTTAAGCATGATACCCGTTTCTTGTCTTCTGGAAGTTGTCCTTGATAATGTTCGATATTCAAGAGATACAAAGCTTAGCATAATGGTAGTTCTTGTTGGTGTTGGCGTCTGCACTATAACAGATGTCAATGTCAATTTTAAGGGATTTTTAGCTGCTGTCATAGCCGTCTGGAGCACAGCTCTACAACAATATGTAAGTATAACCTATGCCCAAGAACCAATATTACACCGAGTTGGATTGTATTGGAACAGTTCTTATTCAATTTGTGATATCATATTCTTGATCCATGCAAATTTCATATTTGGGGTTTACACAGAATGAAAGTTCGATTTTTTTTTTCATGTGGCATGTTGGCTGATGTTAGTTTTCTTCTAAGACCAGTATTGTTATTGGATTACTTTTGCAGTATGTGCATTTTCTTCAACGGAAGTATTCGCTCGGTTCCTTCAACTTACTGGCACATATGGCTCCGGTCCAAGCCGCGTCTTTGTTGTTGGTTGGACCCTTTCTAGACTACTGGTTGACAAACCAAAGAGTAGACGCATTCAACTTCACCTTTATGTCTCTGGTAAGTTTTTTTCGCTTCGTCTCTCAATGAATCATGATTCTTTTCTTTCCGTCGAGTCTTGAGATGAATCCTTCCTTTCACTGCATTGCTCATGCCCTTTTCACGAACTCGAATGTTTCTATATTGGTTTGGAAAAGGCGAATCCCTCATTCATTAATTCATTCACATTGCCATATAACAAAAACTCTACAATCGTCCTTTTCTTCTTCTTCTTCGTCTGATTACATTTTCCCGAATTCGTGCAGTTCTTCCTCGTATTATCGTGCAGCATAGCGGTAGGGACGAACCTCAGCCAATTCATATGCATAGGGAGATTCACGGCAGTGTCATTCCAAGTGCTGGGACACATGAAAACGATTCTAGTATTGGTATTGGGATTCACTTTCTTCGGGAAAGAAGGGTTGAACGTACAAATGGTGGTCGGTATGGTGATAGCCGTCCTCGGTATGGTATGGTATGGTAATGCATCGTCTAAACCGGGCGGTAAAGAGCAGCGTCGGAGCCTCTCCTTCTCCGGCGGCAACAAGTCTCAGAAACTCAATGTCTTATCAGAATCTTCCCAAGCAGATGCCAAGGTCTGAAAAAAAGAGATCAAAAGTATATGACAAGACACAAAAAGGAAAAAAATATATATACAAGGTAGATGAATATTTTGATCCATATGTCTTGTTATTATTGTTTTTATAAAAAAAAAAGGGGGTTAATTTATTTAACAAGCTGAATTTCTGTTTCCTGATTTTGCTTTTTTTAATTTTATTTTCCAGAAATTTTGTTTTTCTTTTCCTTTTTTGTAACCCATAAGGGAGTAATCTTCTAAAATCTCGAGTTCATAATTTGTCATTGTATTTGTAGCCTAATTTTATCTTATGGACATATTTCACCGTTTGCGACTTGGTAAATTTTTCTTGCAATTATTTTTTTTTTCCTTATCATTAATGTTTTTCTCTAATACCAGAAAAAGAGAAATGTGAACATTTGGGACATAACGGGGCAACAAAAAAAATCTATAGCCATAAAAGAACGGGAAAGCGTGCGCTCACACACACACGTGCGAAAGTACTTTAGCGTATAATGTCGGAACGGGGAAAAGTCTTTTTGACGGAACTGAAAGCAACGGAGGCAATCATGGCGTTTAAACGGGGGGCTTTGTAGCGTCGCACGTGCGTCTCTCGTGACTTCTCTAACGACAACGACTTGTTCCGACAACTGCCTTCCCGTTTTCTATAAAGTCCGTGATACCCACCAAATTCCATCCCATAATAAAACTCATCGACTATGAAATAATCCTCTTTTTCACTTTAATTTACTATCGAGATTTTATCTTGTCATAGATAATTATGAGTCTTAAAAAAATCAAGGGATTATTTATTTACTTATTTCAAAATTAAGACATTTTTTCTCCTTTCTATATCATCTCATGTTTCTTACGACATAAAATCCAAAGCAAATTTGAAATTTCTTGTATAGTTTTAGCCACAAATGCGTAAACCGATATTTGCCATATCTCAACCATTAATCCTCAATGTATCTATCTTTTTTTCACCCGTGGAATGGATTCGGATGCGCGTTAATATGATATTGTTTATCTATTTTATCTTTGTTAAAGTAATATATTTCATATTATGCTAATCTAACCTAATAATGCATGCAGAATTATTATTACTCCCTCCGTTTCAAAATAGTTATAGTTTTAAGTTATTTTTTATGTTTCAAAATATTTGTAGTTATACATTTTTAAGGCATTTTTTTATAATAGTTTCCAATTTTATCCCTACCAAATTCCAATATATTATTAATGATTGCATTGTTTTTATCATCAAATAAAGGTATATTTGACTTTTGATCCACTTTCTTAAAAAATGTGAAACAATCTAAAACAACAAATATTTTGAAACAGAGAAAGAGTATTATTTATTATTATCACCGTTATGAACTAACTATAGTGGATGAATGGGTTAAGTTGGGGAAGGAAACGGTGAAATGGGTCGGGAGGCGTTGTAGGATTCGGGGAGCAAAAGTCGTAGAATGACCTAAAAATTAGGTGATAAGGAAATTTTTGCTGGAAACAGCTTGGAGTTCGGTTACGATGTTAATTCATTTGAAATGACATTCCCATTGACAAAGTAGCAATATCACATAATTCTCTACAGTGCCATTATATCTCTCGTTTATTTTATTTATTTCCCGAATTAAAAAATAAGACAGTCATACATATATATATATGTCCCTTCCAAGTGGAATTTTCCACGCCAACAGTTTGTTAAATTAAATGCTTATTTTTGCCCATTACACCTAAAACGTGCATCATCCTTGCATGCATGCATGCACGCACGCACGCACGCACGCATGGGGTCTCGACTCTCTTCGTTGGCATTAAGATATTTGCAGACTGCTCATGGTGGATCATATAATTTTCAAAATTTACGTGCTAAAGTATTCGCCTGTTGAGAAAAAAATATCTTTGATCGTAACCATTAATAAAAATGGTATACCAAAAAAAAAACCATTAATACAAATGGCAATTTATGACGAATACGTAAATCTATATTTAATATTTTATCATTATAAACTACTTATAATTAATCCGAAGCTTGCACATTTCACGTGGCAAGAGTTGCATCGCGTATATTTTTATATATATCACATATACGAGTCAAAGCGTAATGACATGATGAAAAAGTGTATAATCATGAATATATTTATATATGACATAAACAATTAATAATGTTTTTTACACCTTTTTTTCATTCAATGATTGATCGATATTTTTCTCAATTTGGTCCGAGTACAGCTGCAGATGAGTGTATTGAGAATACTAATTAACTAGAAAAAGTTATATATATATATATAATATATATATATATATATATATATATATATATCATCATCAGATTACATTTCAATAGATTAGTGTATGATTACCGAGATGACCCACCACATAGTCGCACCCTCTTATCGCCCACTCTCATCCATTTCTTAATGATTCATATAATAAAAATAAAAATAAAACTATATCACGGGCGAACGTATCCATTGAATCAAATTCGATATTTTGATACAATTTCATATATATTTATTGAATTAAATAATAAGATAATTCGGCATCTGTCGATTCCCCATGATATTATATGTCCTAAATTACGAATGTTTTGGATTGTTAAAAATGTTAATTGAGATGTCAAAAAAAAAAAAATCTTTCCTGAGACAATAGGACTTGTAAATTGGAATGAAATCTGTAGTTAGTGATGTCAAAAGGCGGACATCTCAACGTGTGGAATAGGCCACGTCATCATCCTGGACACGAGCACGTGTAGTTTCTCAGACCACGTGGGTCCCACATATGATCACCGTCGTCCAATTGCCCATTTCTTTAAATTTTAAGAAGACGAGGGGAAAAAAAAAGACGACGTGAAAATGTTTTTTTAATAAATAAATTAAGGCCCATTCAACAAGTAGGGCCCATTTAGGAAATAATAGTTCCAAGTTGGGCCCACATTTTCTGTAGAGAGAGATGGAAGAGAGGGAGAGAGAGATGTGATGGACTGACTGTCGCATCAGCATTTCTTTTTTGGATTTTTTTGTAAATTATATTGCATTTCTTTAATATTTATTTTTGTTTTATAAAGGACGAACATCATATAATAGTCTTATTCGATGCCCGAATATTACATTATTTTTTACGTTGGAGGGATTTTATATAGTAGTAAAATATAATTATCTGTTCGATAATTTACGTCATCGGACATACTGTCAAAATCTAATATTAAAATATATTAATACTCTTTATCTGTTGCATTCACATATTTTGTCTTTTAAAATTTTATATTCTAAAGAATATCAAAGAGGCTAACTAAAGAAAAAACATATTGAAACATAAGTTTGCAATTGGCAATCGAAGTAAAAAAATGTTAGGCTGAAAAGCAATCTTATAACCGTCAAGGATTTTTTTTTTCCAATTGATTTATTAGAATATATCCACCGAATTTGCAATTTTGGAAATTTGTGTTTTTTATATTTTTCGTGTAAGTGTATTTATAAAGAAATGAGATTTAAAATTTTATTATCATCTAAAGTTCTAAGCCGTCCCCTAGATTTTAAATTGAATGATAACGCGAATGCCCAAAAATATTACGAATTTCAATATTAAAACTTTTTTTAAAATAACTGTATTATAATATATATATATATATATGAGTATACATGTATTTTTTTTTTCTCTAAATTTTTAACTATTGATTGAAAAGTGATTTCTTGACAATTCTCATTTATATTATCTTTAACTTATTAAATTCAGTCTTCAGAGATTCAAAAGGATCCCACGAGGCGATTTTAAATCCACGTCACGCCAAATTATCCCGATGTAAAAATCAACAAAGTGGTTATGATATGTTGGTGTATATACGTCTTGTCATGCACATGAAAAGGCACAGTTTGTTTTGAATTTTCTTAAAATGCTATAAAACCCCCCAAAAAACGCATAGCTAAATTGTTCAATCTCACATTTACACCATAAATGTTGGAGAAATATAGGAGATACTCTTTTCTTTTTTTCATTTTTTGGCGAAAAAATATTTGAATTTTACATTATATATATATATATATATGTGTGTGTGTGTACTTTTGAATACCAAGTTTTAGCCGTGGCCTAAGGCATTTTACTGCACTTATTAGTTATTAATGTAATGAAGTGACCCCGTAAGCATACTGTGGGTAAATCGCATTCAAAATGTAATTCGATTATCAAATTAAACCTTGTGATTATCTCATTCTTTTTTTTTTGCCCGTAAGATGTGACAAACGCATTAAAAAATAATTTTACTTAAACTATTTAATTTATTTTTAGATATTTTTTATATTTGATTTACATTCTGTTAATTTCATTTTAGAACTGCAGTAAATATTCTGTTTTAAAATCAGATTGGATTCAAATTAAATATCCAATAATCACCAGCCTAAAAAATAATTAATCAACCGGATTCAGACAAAAGGTTTATGGTTGGAGTCGAAGTTATTATGAGCCCAGAATCAGAGGACTGAATCAGGCAGAACTCATGGCGAAAATTGGTCAAAGAGCATTTGTTTCGTCATAAAATATAAAAAGAGTACGAATCTCCAGAATGCCCTCGTATACTCCCACGGATTGGGAACACTATCGAGGGTAGTTTCGTACTTTTCTACGATGAGTACTAGATTTACTGATGGAAACTAAAACTAGATACTGAAACGTTGTTGTATAGATTTTACTGCAGAAGACAACAACAGCTTAATAAATACTCGCTTTTGATCCTCTGCTTTGCACATGAGCATTTATTTTATTCACCGGGTGAAATTCTGACCGTTGAGATCGGATCAACGGCTGTGATTGGTTTAGAATATAGGGCCATGTATCTCGTACGGTGCACTGTACTGCAACATTTACGACCCACACAACACATGACGCCAATCACATTCAGCCTCGGAAATGGCTGAGAAAAGATACGTATGCTCTCTGAACGACGTCGTTTTTGTGGGGGTGTTTTACTTGACATTATATAAAAAATATCTTTACTTTATTATTTTTATTTCACCGCATACTATTATCTAACTATGACTCAAAATATAATATGGTCACATTTTAATTTTATTGATTATAATATTAAATTTATAGTGATTTCATTAATTCATTATGTTTATATCTTGCATATCTTACTAATTATTTGATTAAAATATTATAAATTTAATATTATGAGCAATAAGATCAATATGTAACTACACTACATTTTAGATCATATAGATCATATAGATCACATGGTTACAGTTGAAAAAGAGTATGTGTTGAAATAAAAATATCAAAGTAAGAGTATTTTTTATAATGCACCGTTTTACTTTTATCCTAATTATGATGAATTATAATATATATATATATATATATATATATCAAAGTTCAAGAAATATATAATAAGATATGACTTGTATAATCTTGTATGAGATGATGAGATTATTCCATCCTACTGTGGACGAACAATATATATATATATACACTACAGTCATACATAATATATACAACAAGGAAAGAAAGAGAGAATAATAATAATAATAATAATAATAATAATAATAATAATAATAATAATAATAAGAGAAAGGAGAAGGAATGCGCCATTAAATTAATGGACACTCATGTCCCAATCGTCGCTCGCACGTACGCTCTCTTCTTGTAAAAGCGAGAGAGACAACCTTCTCTCTCACCTTTTTCAGACACTTTGCGATATAGAGAGAGAGAGAGAGAGAGCAATGTGTATGTGAAAATCCACGAATTTTAATAATATAATTACCAAACAAAAACATGTAACACTTTAACTTTTCCAACATCACATCCCTAATCCTTAGTACCATTTATTTAATCTTGCTGTTAGTTCTGTGATAAAAAAAAAATCTGTATCATTGGTTGTAAAATTGATGGTGTTACATGATTTTGGTAATATATATATTTCCAATATTCTCGAGAACTACAAAAATATATCGGATGTCTTCAAATTACTAAAAATTGTTTAAATCATAGCGTGGAAAACCAAGCAAAACGATGTCGTTTGAGAAAGTATATAATCCTTTTGGATTTAATTGCGCGTTTGTACTTTTGTGAAAAATGCATGAATTTTATTTTATGTGCCTTTTTCTTATGATCTAATCACTTGCATATCATAAACAGGTCCCCGCATTGAATTTGGGTTTATTAAAAAAATCGATTCATTTTATTAATTTTATATTAGAAGAATAATTAGATTTTCAAAAAATATATATATGTATCTAATCATTTTAAAAAAATTCAAAATGAATACAAATATATCTTATTACATTATATTTAAAATTATACACACCCTCAAATGATGTATATTGTAAAACTTCTAATGGTCCATGATGAAGCCGTATTATTCGGCTTTTAACCCGTACTAATTAACTATTAACCAGTCACATCAACTTCGAATTTTAAAAAATTGGAAATTTTTATAAGCTCAAAATAAATCTCCACACACCACACAAAAAACACACATACACGCATATATGCATATATATATATATATATATATATATATGGATTCAATTTTCCATTTCAGTATGCCAATATACTTACCACAAATATATTTACACGAGAGGTTAAAACCATAAGCAAATTAAGTGAAGAACAAACAGGTAGTTGGTGTTGCAATAATTTAATGTTTTTTTATATATATAGAAAAAGTTTTTTTTTTTTATTTAATTAAAGAGAGCGGAGAGCTTGCAGAAGACTTGATCCCATGCCCTAATCTCACGTTAATTAAAAACAAACACCTCACCTCATTTACATGTAAAGACAAAAATACATCATTCATTTAATATATAAAAAAAAGGCTTTGAGATTAAGGATTTTGCCACGTTATTATTTTATTATGGCATACCCTCGGCATTAATTAGTTTTGAACTTATATGTAAAAAAAAAAATTGTATTAATTTTATAATCACAGGGAGAGGTAACATGGCATGTGACGCACAGCTGTGACCACTCCCCTCAGCTCTCTCTCTCTCTCTTTTTTTTTTTTTGATAAATACCTTCTTCCACCTTCCTTGTTCTGTCTTTTGACTCTCTTCTCTCTCTTTCTCGACACTTGTAAATCTCTCTGCTTTCTCTCTCTAGAGCCAGAGCTTGCGCTCCCTCTCTAATGGCGGAAGCAGAACCCTAGGCTGCTTCTTCTCCACATCTCTCCTATCTTCTTTAGCCTTGTTTTATGGGGAAAACGGAGAAAATGGCCTACTTTCCCAGCTTCTTTTTTTCTTTAACTACGATATTTATCTTCTTTCTCTCTCTTCAAGCCTCACCGTCGCCGTCATCGTCTCCGTACAAAGAAACCCTTCAGCTTATGAACTTCAAATCTGCTCTTCCGGACCCTAATGTTCTTCCCAACTGGTTTCCAAACCAAAGTCCATGTAGCTTCCATGGCGTGACTTGCAGAGACGACAGGGTTTCTTCCATAGACCTCAGCTTTGTCCGTCTCAGCGTCGGTTTCAGCGTCGTGGCCTCTTCTCTGATGTCTCTCGGTGGATTGGAGTCTCTGTTTCTGTCGAACGCGAACATCACCGGCTCCATTTCTGTGTTCAAGTGCTCCGCCTCCCTGACCACCTTGGATCTGTCGGCTAATGCTCTGTCGGGTCCTCTATCGAGCTTGTCGAACCTGGGTTCCTGCTACGGCCTGAAATTTCTCAACCTCTCGGGCAGTTCCCTCGATTTTTCTGGGAAAATTTCAGGTGGGTTTAAGCTGAATAGCTTGGAAGTTCTCGATCTCTCCTCCAACTCGCTGTCTGGTCCAAACGTTGTCGGCTGGGTCCTCTCCGGCGGCTGCGGAGAACTGAAACGGCTGTCGATTAGCGGGAACTCGATCAGCGGAGACATAGATGTGTCTAGCTGCGGAAATCTGGAGTTGCTCGATGTTTCGCGGAACAATTTCTCTTCGGGCCTTCCCTCCCTCGGCAATTGCTCGGCTCTGCAACACCTCGACATCTCCGGCAACAAATTCTCCGGCGACATCTCGCGCGCAATCTCGTCTTGCACTGAGCTCAGGTCCCTGAATCTCACCACCAACCAGTTCTCCGGACCCATCCCTTCCCTGCCGCTGAACAAACTCCGCTACCTCTCTCTCGCCGGAAACAGCTTCAGCGGCGAGATCCCGGAGTTCCTCTCCGGCGCGTGCGCCACACTCGCCGGGCTCGATCTCTCCGGCAACGACCTCTACGGTACGGTACCCTCTTTCCTGGGCTCTTGCTCTCTCCTGGAAACGCTTGAGCTCTCGAGCAACAATTTCTCCGGCGAGTTGCCGATGGACACTCTTATCAGAATGAACGGGTTGAAGGTGGTTGATCTGTCTTTCAACGAGTTCTCCGGTGTTTTGCCGGAATCCCTTTCGAATCTCTCCGCTTCTGTGCAGACACTTGATCTTAGCTCCAACAACTTGTCCGGTCCGATACCGACCAATCTGTGCCGAAACCCTAGGAATGCGTTGAAAGAGCTTTACCTTCAGAACAATGGCTTGACCGGACACATCCCTGCAACTCTGAGCAACTGTTCCGAGCTCGTGTCGCTTCATCTGAGCTTGAACTACCTAACCGGCTCCATCCCTGCAAGCTTAGGCTCTTTATCAAACCTTCGAGATTTGAAGCTATGGCTGAATCTGCTCGAAGGAGAAATCCCACGGGAGCTGATGTACATCCAAACACTCGAGACTCTGATTCTCGACTTCAACGACTTGACAGGGGAGATTCCTTCCGGTCTAAGCAATTGCACCAATCTGAACTGGATTTCGTTGTCGAATAACCGGTTAACCGGTCAGATTCCCCGTGGTTTAGGCCGGTTAGAGAATCTCGCCATCCTCAAGCTCAGCAATAACTCTTTCTATGGAAACATCCCGTCAGAGCTCGGAGATTGCCGGAGCTTGATCTGGTTGGATCTCAACACCAATTTCTTCAACAGTTCGATTCCCGTCGAACTGTTCAAACAGTCCGGGAAAATCGCAGCGAATTTCATTGCCGGAAAACGGTATGTTTACATCAAGAACGATGGCAGCAAGAAGCAGTGCCATGGAGCTGGGAACTTGCTTGAGTTTCAAGGAATCAGACCAGAACAGCTCAACAGGCTTTCTGCAAGAAACCCTTGTAACTTCACCAGAGTCTATGGCGGCCATACCCAGCCAGTATTCAACAACAACGGTTACATGATGTTCCTCGACATGTCCTTCAACATGCTGTCCGGATTCATCCCTAAGGAGATCGGTTCGATGCCCTATTTGTTTATTCTGAACCTCGGCCATAACAATCTTTCGGGTTATATCCCCGAAGAGATCGGGGATTTGAGAGGGTTGAACATTCTCGATCTGTCGAGCAACGAGCTCAAAGGAGCAATCCCTCAGACCATGTCTGCGCTCACCATGCTCACGGAGATCGATCTCTCCAACAACTTGTTGTCGGGACAGATTCCCGAGATGGGTCAGCTCGAGACTTTCCCGCCCGCAAAGTTCATGAACAACTCGGGTCTCTGTGGTTACCCGCTCCCCCGCTGCGACGCAGGGGACGCTGGCTCGAGTTCTCGTCATCAGAAATCTCACAGGAGACAAGCTTCTCTGGCGGGAAGCGTGGCAATGGGGTTACTGTTCTCCTTTTTCTGCATTTTTGGGTTGATCATCGTCGGTATAGAGATGAGGAAGAGGCAGAAAAAGAAAGAGGCAGCTCTGGAGATGTATACCGAGGGGCATTCGAACTCGGGCACGGCCAATACTAGCTGGAAACTGACCGGCGCCCGGGAGGCATTGAGTATCAATCTCGCTGCTTTCGAGAAGCCCTTGAGGAAACTGACCTTTGCCGATCTTCTAGAGGCAACGAACGGATTCCACAACGACAGTCTCATCGGCTCTGGCGGGTTTGGGGATGTGTACAAGGCGCAGCTGAAAGACGGAAGCATTGTTGCGATCAAGAAACTCATCCATGTGAGTGGACAAGGGGACAGGGAGTTCACGGCCGAGATGGAGACAATCGGGAAGATCAAACACCGAAACCTTGTCCCTCTCCTAGGTTACTGCAAGGTTAAGGAAGAGAGGCTGCTCGTTTACGAGTACATGAAATACGGAAGCTTGGAAGACGTTTTGCACGACCCAAAGAAATCGGGCGTGAAACTGAACTGGGCGGCGAGGCGGAAGATCTGTATCGGAGCAGCCCGAGGACTGGCATTTCTCCACCATAACTGCATTCCTCATATCATACATCGAGATATGAAGTCGAGCAATGTGTTGCTGGACGAGAATTTGGAGGCTAGGGTTTCGGATTTTGGGATGGCGCGCTTGATGAGCGCCATGGACACGCATCTGAGCGTAAGCACGCTGGCGGGCACGCCAGGTTACGTCCCGCCTGAGTATTACCAGAGCTTCCGATGCTCGACGAAAGGAGATGTGTACAGTTACGGGGTCGTTCTTCTCGAGCTGCTGACGGGGAAGAGACCGACGGATTCAGCGGATTTCGGGGACAACAACCTCGTAGGGTGGGTGAAACAGCACGCGAAACTGAGGATAAGCGACGTGTTCGATCAAGAACTGATGAAGGAAGATCCGGGACTGGAGATTGAGCTTCTGCAGCATCTGAAAGTGGCGTGTGCTTGCTTGGACGATCGGCCATTTAGAAGGCCGACGATGATACAGGTGATGGCCATGTTCAAGGAGATACAAGCTGGGTCCGGTCTGGATTCACAGTCCACCATCGCCACAGAGGACGGAGGGTTCGGTTCTATCGAGATGGTTGATATGAGCATTAAAGAAGTTCCTGAAGGCACGCTATGATCAACTCCGACAACCTCGAAAACTCGATCAGTTTTCGAGTAGACGACAGATTCTTTGGACAAAGAACCGAGCGAAGAAGAAGAAGAACCGATCTGGGTCAGAGCAATTTTTTCCATCTTCGTGCCGAAATGTATGTATCTCGTCTGCAATTTATATACGTAAAGGGATTATCTTTTTTTTTGTTCTCTATATCAATCTCTTATTGTGTTCCGAATATGTAAATATACAGTTTTTTTTTTTTTTGGATTTGCGATGTTTGCTTCAAGTAAGATCCACTGGCAAGAATCTTGAAAGTGTATTTAAGATTCAAGCTGAATTCAGACAAAGGTTACGAACTGGTTCGAAAGCAAAAAAAAAAAAAAGCACGTGTGAATAAGTAGAGAGTTTGTATCTGTGAATTAAAACCGGTGGAGTGATGGAATGAAATAATCGATGAGATTAATGTTGTTGTGTAATCTTTAAATGCGAAATGTGGTCCGAGAAGTGGAATTAAATGTCTGCCCAATACAACAAAAGCATCTGACCAGTCTTACATGGGTCACGTGCACCTCACGTGAACACCCCTCGGCCCCCCCCCCCCGGGGG